CCTGAGGCAAACTCTAGAAGGTAAAAGTCAGGCAGAGGAAGCGGCAGTAAAGGCCATTAAGAAGAAGCCAGTAGGCCAGGCACGGTGGCTCACACCTGTAATCCCAGCACTTAGGGAGGCCGAGGCGGGCGGATCTCTGAGATCAGGAGTTCGAGACCAGCCTGGCTAACATGGTGAAATCCTGTTTCTACTAAAAATACAAAAAATTAGCCAGGCATGGTGGCATGCACCTGTGATCCCAGCTACTCGGGAGGCTGAGGCAGGAGAATCACTTGAGCCCGGGAGGTAGAGGTTGCAGTGAGCCAATTTCACGCCATTGCACTCCAGCCTGGGCAACAAGAGGGAAACTCCTTCTGGAAAGAAAAGAGAAGAGGAGAGGAGAGGGGAGGGGAGGGGAGGGAAAGGGAAAGGGAAAGGGAAAGGGAAAGGGAAAGGGAAAGGGAAAGGAGCAGCAGCCAGTAAGGTATAGCAGAATAACAGGAGTGTGAAATCACTGAGTGTTTTGAGTGTATCAAATGCCCCTGAAAGGTCAAGCAAGGTGAGGAAGGAAGGTGGGGTTGAACAAGATGGAGATCACTGGTGAACTTAACAAGGGCAGTTTCAGAGCATGGAGGGGGCTGAAGCCTAAGTAAAGTGGGTAATAGAATGGTGGCAGCACAAGACTACACAGCTTTACCCTAGAGTTTTGCTTAAAAGACTAAGGAAATGGGATTGCAGATAAAAGAGGAATATGTAGTCAAGGAAGAGATATTTTTCTAAAGATTAAGCATACTAGAGCCTATTGATTTGCAAATGATGATAATTCCATACCAGGGAGAACCTGATGATGCCAGAGAAAGGGGCACCTAAGGTGCAAGACCGCAAGATCCTAAAGAAGATGGAAGAACATGGCATCTGGGGAAAACCTTGAGTGACAGAATTAACCTTAGATATGAATAGGGTCACCTCCTCCATAGTGACAGGAGAGAAGAGAGAGAGTAGGGATACATTTTCAAGCAGGTTGATAGGTTTGGTATGGGGAAGATGGATGAGGGAATTCTAGTCTGATTGCAAAGGAGTGGATATGATGATAGAGCATCAAATCTCTTCCAGATAAGCAGGAAAGCAAAACAAGAAGGGAGGGACTGCTTGTGTAAGGTGGTAGTGTTGGTGAGAGACCTCAGTGAGGTCAAATAATTGCCTGCTGGATATGACAGAATAATAAGCTAGAAGAATAGGAGGTGGTAATCCAGAAAGGGTGCTGGAAACAGAGTTTGAAATGGTAAAATCATCGGGGTTGGCAAGGTAAAAAATGTGGCCATGAGACTTTGTGAGGTGGAAAAGATAAAGAAACGGTGTGATCAAGAATCAGATAAGACAGGGTGTTGGATAGATCATCCAGGTGATGTCATCAGGAAAAACAAAGTGGGAGACCCTCTCAGGTGTTAAAATCACCAGTAAATAAAGGGAATGATCGAGAGTGGTCAGTAAATAACAACCACTTGGAGAAGTAGTAACTAATATAGTCTGATGGCACAAGCTTCAAAGAAACAAAGCTTTGAAGGAGGAGAAATAAATTGTTTGAAACACCTACTGCACTCCCAGGTACCGAGGTACTTGAGATAAGGGACAATAATATGACTCCACTGTAAATGGAAAATTAAATTTTGATATAAAAAGTTTAAAGAAATTCAGAGTAGGAAGGAATTAACACAAAGCAATGGAGAAAGCTTTATGGAAGGAATGGTCTTGAAAAATAAACAGAATTTCATAGATTTTAAGATTTAAGAGGTGAATCGCCTGCAACAACCCTCATTTTACCTAAGGAAACTGAAACCTGTTCAAGCGACATCTAAAATCATACAACAAATTTGTGACTGAGCTAGGATTAGAATGAGTTTTAAGGCTCCTTATTCTCTATATTATACTACATTCCCGATGTAGGGAAGAGAAAAGAATATTTATTTTATTAATTAATTCTTTTTTTGAGAGGGAGTCTTGCTCTGTCGCCCGGGCTAGAGTGCAGTGGCACGATCTTGGCTCACTGCAACCTCCACCTCCTGGGTTCCAGCGATTCTCCTGCCTCAGCCTCCTAAGTAGCTGGTATTACAGGTGCCCACCATCATGCCAGCTAATTTTTTTTTTTTTTTGTATTTTTAGTAGAGATAGGTTTTCACTATGTTGGCCAGTCTGGCCTCAAACTCCTGACCTCAGGTGATCCACCCGCCTCGGCCTCCCAAAGTGCTGGGATTACAGGCATGAGCCACCGCACCCGACCTGAATATTTTATTTAAAATAAAATGAATAAAAGGAATGTGTTCAAAAGCTTAAAAGGAGAAATGAACAGGAAATCAGTGTAAGTAGATAAGAGTGTTTTTATCTGGTACTAATACAAGGTGATGTCCAGAAAATACAATAGAGTCAGCTGGAGAAGGTTTGGACTTGCAAAAAAAAACGTGGGTTCAGTGCTCACTGTGATAATATTGCATGGAAGCACCGCCAAATCCTGTAGTGGCTTAAAACAGCCAGTCTGTGGGCCTGTGGATGTCCATGGCAGCTCTGCCCCAGACTGGCACAAACCAGGGCAGTTTATCCTGGGAGAGGTAGTTGTTAACCATTCACCAGCACACCTCCGGCTGCAGGTAAGGTTCAGGTGTATTCCAGGAATGCCACACTGTAGGAGCCAAGGAGCCACCACGCTGGGCAAGCCGTCCTCACAGCAGAGGGTCAAAGCTCAGAAGAGACCAGCAGAAACACATGCTGCACTTCACAGCCTCTGCTCAGCCTGGCACACACTGCCATCCACAGACACATTTGTTGGTTAAAGCAAGTCCCGTGGCCAAGCTCAAAGTCAATGGAGCAGAGAAATACACTCCACCTACAGGGAAGTCATCCTCAAAGGGGAAGTAAATAATTGTGAATAAATAATCCAGCCTTCCTCAGCATGGTAACAAGGAACCACTACTGGTTCTTCAGTCGGCTCAGGTCCAGCAGTAATATTGAGATGAATGCACTAGTTGGATTGTACCAGTTGTTCAAATATTAAAGCACCTCAGCTGGTAATCAGCCACTGCTCCAAGACCCTCAAGGACTCCCTCCCCCATGATCCCGATCCCTGGAGAAGCCCTAGGCAGGCTCAGTGGAATAATAATCTGCGTGTTTTATGGGAGTCAGTCCAGTACAGAGCAGAGCTAAGAGTACAGGCTCTATCTGGGTTCACATTCGGGCTCCTTGTGTAATAGCTGTGAACACTGGGCACATTATTTAAACCCTTTATCTCTTCCTGTTTCTCTTCTGTAAAGGGGAAATAATGCTATATACATCACAAGGCTGTGAGAATTAAATTAGTTAATGTATGTAAAATACTTAGCACAGTGCCCAGCTCATGATAAACTCCATACCATATTTACTATTAATAATAATAGTATGAGCAACAAATTAGTACTTTTAGACTGATACATGCATGCACACAAAGCAGTAATACACATATGGCAAGGATATGAACCAAAACTATACCAAGCTACTGGAATGGTTGCCTATGCAGAGAATGGTGATCAAAGGGAATAAATACATTAAAACACTGATCACTGAGTTCCATTCCCAGAGATTCTGATTCTGTTTTGGTCAGGAATAGGGCTTTACTGGCATGTGGACTGGAAATCTCTATTCTTCCAAAAGCAGCCCAGGAGACTGTGATACACGAATGGGTTTGGGACACGCCGAGTAGTAAAAGGAGCATGTTCCTTGTGGTTCCAACACACTTAGGTCCACATTCCAGCCCTGACCCTCATTATAGTTTCTTGGACAAGTTATTTAATCCTCTGATCCTCTGTTTCCTTTGGTAAACAAATAAAAAAAAGACACTGCAACTATATTAGTTGGGACTTTTCAGTTTACAGCCATGAGAACTTAAATTCAAATTCACTTGAACGACACCAACGAAAAAGGAAATTTATTGGTGACCAGAAGCAAACCACAGAAAAGTGGCTGTGTGGCTGTGGTGCTAGCCCAGGGGCATTTGGCTTCAGGTACTCTGGCTTTCCAGGAAAGTATTCGTGTCGTCTGAATGCCTGTTTCTCTCCATATCCTCCCTGCCTCCACCATGACCCATCCCTACTTGTTCTTGTTTGGTTTTATCCTCTCCTACAAAGGACAGGTTATTTCCATGTGGCAGAGATCATGACCATAAAGGCCTAAGATTCTGATTCTTCCAGATCCATAACCTAGTATGTAAGATGGGGTTATCGCTGTCCGCTTCAGTGGAAATACCCAGGGATGGGACCTCATTGACTGGGCTTTGCTCCTCATGGTTGGGACCAGGGATGTCCTGGCACCAGATGTATGTGGCAGGAGTTTGCATAGAGATGGAGGATGGGAAGAATGCTGAGCAGTCCAAGATTATAACTGCCAGAGCCCCCTCATTCAGGTATAAAAACGTGTGGCACTCACCTGTAGATCGTGGACACTCAAATATTAGTCCCCTTCCTCTTCCTCTCTTCCTGATTTGAATGCAGGAAAGGATTTTTAACTACCCATGATCTAAAATACCATTCTTATTTCCACCTCCTGGATCTGTGAAACAAAGACACACAGCTACTGCTGCATGGATTTCCTACACTTGCTCATTCCCTCATGTAACTGAGGAAAAGAACAAGTCACCAAATTTAGTGATTTGAAGATTTAATTTTATGGCTTAATTTATCTATACTTACTAAACACTTTTTAAAACTATAAATGTAGTAGTAGAATCAAAATTATTGGGATTTTTTTTACTCATTAGTTTCAAGAAATCTTTCAGAGTTAATGTTGTATTGTATTATATATTGTTGATTTAGTAGAAGGAACCTTGAAGACTTGGGTATAATTCAGTTCATCCTAGGCAAGCCACTTGACTTCTTAGAATCTTATTCTTCTCATTTATTAAAAAATGGATGCTGATAGCATCTGTACTGCCCACCTTATAGGGTTGTGTGAGGACCAGTATTAGGTCATGTACGTAAAATCACTTTGTAAAATGAAAAGGCAAGAATTAACAGAAGACTTTTCTCCTTTTAAATAAGCTCTTTAAACTAAAAATAGAACTGCAATTTGACCCAGCAATCCCATTACTAGATATACAGCCAAAGAAAAAGAAATATTTCTATCAAAAAGACACATACACTCACATGTTCACTGCAGTAATGTTCACGATAGCAAAGACGTGGAACCAACCTAGGTGCCCATCAATGATGGATTGGATTTTTAAAATGTAGTACATGTACACCATGGAATACTATGCAGCCATGAAAAAGAATGAAATCATGTTCTTTGCACCAACGTGGATGCAGCTACAAGCCATTATTCTATGCAAATTAATGCAGAAACAGAAAATCCAAAATCACATGTTCTCACTTGGGTAGAAGCTAAATCTTGGATACTCGTGGGCATAAAGAGGGGAACAAGACAGCGGGGACTCTGAAAGGAGAGAGGAAGGGAGGAGGCAGGCTGAAAAACGTCCTATTGGGTACTATATTCACTATTTGGGCAGCGTGATCATGCATTATACCCTTGTAACAAACCTGCAGTAAATCTAAAAGAAAAATTGAAATTAAATAAAATAAATAAAAATAAATAAGCTCTTTGAAAAGCAAAGAAGAAAAGTTTCCAAGTTGGTTTATGTTCTTATATACTCTGATATTATTTCCAATGTCTTTGAATAAAATGTCCATGTGGCATAATTTAAGCTTTCTCTCTAACAGAACCAGAATCTTATGAGCCTGTGAAAATTCCAACCCAGTCCTTGCTGCAGGATGTTGCGGGACAAGCAAGAAAAGAAAAAGTGAAGTTGCCTCGTTATTTGCTGAGTTCCAAGCCTAAGTCTCAACCTCTTGCAAAGGTAAAACAAACATGGGAACAAATGCCCCACAGCCAATCAGCATTTGATGTAATTCTTTATTTTTTATTTTTTTCAATCCTGCTCCTTTTGTAGATTTTATGTAATTCTGATTCATTGAAGTTAATAGTTTCCAACCACTGTGTACTGCTATTGACCGTATTGATATTGCTATTGATCTCACCATGAAGCTCTTTAAACTTACATCTCACACATGTAAACACAGGCAGTGCTTTGATGGAGCTGGCTCATACAGGCTCCTGGGAGAAATTTTATGAGCCAGTTATCAAACCACTGATAGCTTGAAATCAGCCACGCTGGGAGTACTTGCACCATAAAATTGGTAAACACTAGAAATCAGAATTGTTTTCAGACAGCCAGTTTACCAGCATACTTCTACTGGCTAAAGGAATCATTGGCCACCGTTGCCATGACTCTTAGGATAAAATCCAAATGACTTAACATGAGGACAAGGCCCCATTTGCTTCTTCGCCCTCACCCTGAGTCAAACTCACTATAATTCAGTCATTGTAGATTTCATTCTTTACAAATACCAAGCTCCTTCCTTCCTCAGAGCCTCTAAGATTAAGATTCCACCCAGTTCTATTGGGAAACCTTCTGGAGTCCACCAGTTTTGATAATTGTCTTTTTTTTTCTTCCATGGCACACTGTGTTCATCTCCATCACAGAATTTATTGTTATATATAACTGACAAAATTACAGTACGTCTCAAACTTTAGTGTGCCTATGGATTACCTCAGGATCTTATTAAAATTCAGATTCTGACTCACTAGGTCTGGTGTAGGGCATGGGGTTCTGCAGTTCTAACAAACTCTGAGATGATGTCAGCGCTGCTGATGTGAGGAATAATAAGGGCACAGACCAATGGTTCTCAAAGTGTGGTTGTCTGACCAGCAGCATTGCCAACACTAAGAACTTGTTATAAATGCAAATTCTTGGGCCCTGCCCCCAACCAACAGAATGAAAAACTCTGGGGATAAAGTCAGCAATCTCTGTTATTGTTAATGAGTCCTCCAGGAGATTCTGGTGGAAGCTAATGTTTGATGACCACTGGCACAGATGGAAGAGCACAGACTCTTGAATCAGGCAAACTTGAGTCTGAATCTTTGCTATGCTACTTACCACTTGAACAATTATCTTTCAGTTCTCTGAACTTGACTTCCTTATCCTTAAAAGAAAGCCTAAAATACCTCCCTAAACGGCTGTTGTAAGGATTACATGAGACTATAAACATTCATTTCCTCCAGCAACCAAAAAGTTATTTTCCTCTGGTGACAGGGCCTTTTTTTTTTTTTTTCTAATCCTGGGAACTCAAAATAGAACCATTTTATTAATTTTTCCTTAATGCAAAGGTGCAAGATTCTGTTGCAGGAAAAGTGAACACATCCTCTATTGCATCTGCCGCCATTAATAATGCACAGTCATCCCCTTTTGGGTTCCATCTTCTCCCGTCATCAGTGAAGTTTGGAGTGCTTAAGGAAGGACATACCTATGCCACAGTTGTAAAGCTCAAGAATGTTGGAGTGGACTTCTGCAGGTGAGGCCAAGGGACGAAAGGTCTGCCTACCTTTCCCTACCCTGTGACTTGTCTTTGGTCACCTCCATCAGTAAATGTTTATTGGACCGAACTATAATTACTCCTTGAATCTTCACATGATTCATTCAGTCATTTACACACTTATTCATTCATCAACAAATCAGCGAGTGTTTATCGGGCTCCAATTATATGGTAGATACTTCCTTGCCCTCCTATTCATCATTATTCATACTTTGGTAAAAGCAACTCACATCCTGATCTCCACTAGTGGAAAAAAAGGAGGAGGTTGTACAAGTGTTACAGCTACTAATGCACTATAATTGAAAGTCTTTTTCTCAAATCCACTAACTATAATAATACCAGCTGATGTTTGTTTGCACAGTATGATCTGAAAAGCACTTTTAATTACATTGTTTCTGCATAATGGAGGGAAAAACCTTATGAGACTACTATAAAAGGAGAAACTGTGTAACTTGTTTTAACATCTTATAGGTTAGCAGAGGCCAAATTTCAGATCTCCTGAGTCCCACCATATGCCTTGCTTTACTAATACTTTTGTGTGAAATTTCAAACCTTTCCATTGGATCAATAAACCATATACCTCTACCAAACCATTCCCAAGTACAAAATGTCCACTATTCTATCTTAAACATAAGCATGTGTATTACTTCCATTAAAATGGAATATATGTTTATTTCAGTTGCAGTCATTTTCAGAGTTCAGTGGTAAGTCCTTCACAAGTGTTTGTGATTCTGATTGATGATTGGAAATCAGATAAGACAAAATGATAGAAGCATCCAGTTTGAAAGATCCCTGTCCTATTTCAGTTGTTTCAGTTGAGGCAAATCCCCAGCTTCAGGAATGACCTTTGCTTCCTGAGAAACAATCTGATGTGGAACTCAGGCCACCAAATCACACATTATTATTTTTTAGGTTGTTGCCAACAAAGTGGGTGGGGAGAAATAGAGAGTCAACCTCAAACTAATAAAACTCATTCGTGCGGGTCCTGTCGCTCCAGTATAAAATTTTAGTTTTGGAGATTTCACTCCTCAACTTGTTAATTCAGCCACGATAGAGCAGACAGCAAGGTTGATGGAGGAAGAAGCAGTGTTGGGGTCAGAGTGGAGGTAGGCTTTCCTTGGCATTTTAATTTACTCCAGGTCTTTAACCTTCAAGCAGAACCCACAAACCACAGGAAGGGAGAGAGATCAATAAGCACCATGTGTGAGCTCAGAGCTTTTCAAGTTCTTCGACATTTTCTGAGCCTTTCTGTTTCTCCTCTCCTCAAACATGCAAACCCCATACCAAGATAGAGCAAGGCTGGCTCCCATGCTCCACTGCCTTCCAAAAGAGCCTTTATTCTTCAACTTAACGACCCGGCTGCCAGCATTTGCGTTCATGCTGGCAGCTACGCTGAAATGCACACACCAGCCAAATAGTCCCACTGCCCAAGCCTGGGCTGCTCGTCAGCAACCAGTAACGAAGGGTTGAAATTCAGGTTGGAGCCCGTTTTATGCTGATGAAAACGGTTGGAAAGGCAGTTGTGAAATGGGCCCCAAATTCTTCTCCCAATTGAATATTAAAGTTGTTTTTTTAATGGTATGGACCCCCGGCTCCTGTGTAGCAAGTATTAACACCTTCCTTATTTTATAACATCCCAGCTTATTCATTGCTCCTGTTTTTCATTATGGCATCAATTTATTTTCATCTTGCTGCCTTGTAGGTTTAAGGTAAAGCAGCCCCCACCCAGCACAGGACTGAAAGTGACTTACAAACCTGGACCCGTAAGTCCTATGTCATCTGTTGTGTGTCCTTGCGTGCATGTAAATGAATATGTATAGGTTTCCAGTGAAGTGGGCTTTGAAATCATTCTGCCCATTCATTTTAAACTATGTATAAGTCTAATGTTTTTAATATCATAAGCAAAAGATTTCTGGTAGTGATACAGTATGTGGCTTGATGGCATTCATTCCATGTGGTAACCATGAGACCGATCCTATGCATAAACAGAGTTAAACTGCCAGCTATGGAAACAATTCTGAAGCTCACCTCACTTGTCTCAGTATTACAGTTATGTACTGTTGTATAAAAACTACGGTTTTAAAAAGTAAATCCTTATGCAAACTGAAAAATAATTATTCCATTCTTTATATTTTATGTAAATCTGGTTTGCTCTCTTGGTATTTGCCAGATAATATTATTTAATGCTATATTAAGAAATCATATTTGCTTGTTTGTTTATTTATTTATTTTTATTTTGAGACAGAGTCTCACTCTGTTGCCCAGGCTGGAGTGCAATGGCATGATCTTAACTCACTGCAACCTCTGCCTCCCGGGTGCAGGCACTTCTCCTCCCTCAGCCTCCTGAGTAGCTGGGGTTACAGGTGCATGGCACCACACCTGGCTAATTTTTGTATTTTTAGTAGAGACAGGGTTTCACCATGTTAGTCAGGCTGGTCTCGAACTCTTGACCTTGTTATCCACCTGCCTTGGCCTCTCAAAGTGCCGGGATTCCATGCATGAACCACCACACCCAGCCAAGAAATCATATTTATTAAACTCATAAGTTGCCTCATTTCTCCAAAGATCTCTGAAAATACAAAATAAAAAATGTCAACCTATTCTGACTTTGATACATCCTCCAAAATGGCATGTTTAGTAAAAAATATGCATATTAATAGCATATTCTCACTTTACATTATAATTTCAGAAATATAGGATGATGTAAACATAAGTTCATCCTAAAATATAATAGTCACATTTGGAAGTCTTTATCAGTGCATCATCTGGCTGCTTTAACACGCCTTTTACTTCATACTTCACTCAGCAAATTTTGAGTTCCTCCTATATGCCATTGAAAGTGGCCAGGGCACAGAGGATGTTAAAAATGAGTAAGACACATGAGACGCTCACAGAGCCAGGCACATAGTGGGTACTCGAGAGAGGTGTGATTCAGTTACAGAATGAAGTGAGTTGGTCTGGCAGACGCGTGACCCACTCATCACAGATGGGAAGAGCGCATAGGCCTATGAGAACAGTGCACAAAAGGATCCAGTCCTGTTAACAAGCACCCAATGCTCCCTGAGTCTGAAGCTCTTAAAGCATCCTCAGTCATAGGCTCACACAGAAGGGTTGGTTTGGGATAGCGCAAAGCCAGTTGACTTATTGTCACGACTGTGCCATCAAGCAGTTCAGTTAATGCTCTGAGCCTTGTTTTCCTCATCTGTAAAGTTCAGACCAGATTATTTCTTAGCCCCCTTCTAGCTGTAATATGCTCTACAGAAAACAGTATTATACAGGCTGAAACTCCAAACAGAAACATTTTGGGATTATATCCACTAATTCACAAGTACTGGCCTGAAGTAATTCACCACTGTACTGTGTCAAGATTTCAGAACCTTCACAACATAAGGCAAAAGACAAAAATCAAAACAAGCCCTTCTTCCACTGTTCTGGGAAGTTAGCAAATCTCATTTTAATTTAAAGTAGGGATTATGCCAAAAGCCAAAATAGCTGTTGGATCAACCTTTATAGGTCCTAAAAACCCAGCATGTAGTCTTTGAAGCTCACTCTATACTATAAGGTTTTTTTAGTTTGACAACAGGCTTTGATAGTAGGTTTTGGCTCTGGCAAAAAATATAATCTGTAGACTTCCCCATATGTAAATCTAACCACTGTTCGGCTTGGTTAGTTGCCAACACTAAATGAATCTGCTCAAAGCCTGGGCAAACCTGTATGATGGCTGTGTTTCAGCTCTCCTCATGCTGAATTTCATCATGACCCAGCCCTGCTCCAACTGCTGGACTTGGAGGAGAAGGGTCTGCTGCTGGATATCCTCCAGCATGCATACGCTCACAAATACATTGTTGAAAAAACGGAAACCTTTTTCAATTCTACTATTTATAAAATTATATTGAAGAAAACATTCCATTTGTATCTAATTGCTTTTCATGTAGTCGTTTCAGATTTATTTTTTTTCCAGATAACTGTTCCCAAGTCTGCTTTTTAACCCACCTCCTGGAGAGGCAACTTAGAAACATAAATAGCTCTCTCTTTGCTGGCTAGTGTTCTTTTCAAGGAACAAGGCAAGATGCCCGTACCTTGCTGTGTTCCTTCTTCCTTCTGTATCAGGTTTCTTCTTTGTTGGTATAATCCTCTTCCATGGGTTTTCAGAACTAAGCAGTTGGGCATTTCAACTAATTTTGTCTCCCTCTACTGGCTTCATTATTTTATGCAGCCTACATTAGGAATACCCTAAAGTCACGTTTTTCCAACCCATGGCCCGGGACGGCTTTGAATGCAGCCCAACACAAATCCCTAGACTTTCTTAAAACATGATGAGATTGTTTTGCGATTTTTTTAAGCTCATCACCTGTCGTTACTGTTAGTATATTTTGTGTGTGACCCAAGACAATTCTCCTTCTTCTAATGTGGCCCAGGGAGGCCAAAATAGTGGACACCCCTGCAAGAAACAGGGTAGGAAAGTTATGATAGTCACCAAGTCCGTTAGGTGAATTTTTTCTTTTTCTTTCTTTATTTTTTATGTATTTATTTTTTTTGAGACGGAGTTTTGCTCTGTCGCCAGACTGGAGTGTAGTGGCACGATCTTGGCTCCCTGCAACCTCCGCCTCCTGGGTTCAAGCAATTCTCCTGCCTCAGCCTCCTGATTTATATTTATATTAGATTAAATTGATCTTTATCTGAAGTAGCCCCTATTGCAGATTTCACTACTGAAAGTCACTACCGACATTCAAAAACTAACACAATTAGGAGTATTGCAAAATTTTGCCTTCAGTTCTACTTCCAGTAACCTGGCATTTAGCTTCCTTATGCTTTTTCCTAAATAGAACCTGGTTTGCCCCTTCAACAATTTACCCTGGGTCCCCTTTACTTAATGGAATTCTATCTTCATTATGAAGTAATTCTGCTAAATGCTTTTAATAACTACCATTTATTAGTGCAAAATTTATAGATTAAGAAACCAAAGGTAAGAGAGTTTAAATAACTTGCTCAAATTCATATTAAAAGCAAGGTTTGCACTGAGAGTTGTCTGGTCCTAAAGCTACCTTGTGTCTTATAGGTGGCAGCTGGTTTGCAGACAGAACTGAATATAGAGTTATTTGCCATGGCTGTTGGAGAGGATGGGGCCAGGGGATCAGCACACATCTCTCACAATATCGAGATTATGACTGAGCATGAGGTTCTGTTCCTACCTGTGGAAGCAAATATCCTTTAATGTTCAACTTGAGTAATCATATATAGTGCAGAAATTACACGAGTGAGGAAAACATGGAAGTCAAAATGCATCTCTACTTTATTAATTCTATCTTCAAAATCAGAGTTAAATTTATTAAGACAAAGGGTATCTTCATCCATCTTTGAAAGCACCTAGCCAAATCTA